CGTTATTTTTAAGTTGCTAGTTCTTCTTTAGACAGTGGTTAGTTGTTTTTGAGAATTGATTTTAGAATTGTATAGTAAGGATTAGTTTTACTCGAGGCTTTAGCTAGATAGTAGTAGTAGGTAGCATTTTGAACTTGTGTATATATTTATGTATATATTAGCGAGGCTCACTAACTTGAAAGCACCTCTGGTTGCTAACAACAACATGGCGTCCTACACCGGACGCTTAGTTTCGGACATTTTTCTTGTCTGCCCAAGTGACTTTCTAGGAATTCGTTTTTAAAATGTTTACCTCGTGAAAAATGGCGATTTTTTCACATAATGTAAACAAACTATAAATGGCAGTGCTAAATATGCCAGAGAAACGCTATAAATTGCTTTGGATAATGAAGACCGAAGCTCAAAAAGTGGTGCCGACAAACATTCGTAGATCTTTTTAAATATTAGCTTCTACGATGTAGATCGGAAACCGAAAGTACATCAATATTAGATTTAGCAGTCTGTGTAAAAATAAATCGAATATTACATGCGCTAATTTTTAAAAAAATTCTCCAAAACGGTCACCACCAAAAGTAAAAATTCCATAACCCACGTGACCGCTATTGGGCGGGAGACGTTTGCCTAGGTGGCTCTATCGACTCTTTACTACGTTTGTGTTGTTATTTATGTTGACAAGCGTTAAGTGAATATTTTCCAATTTTGATTTTTACATTGCTGGACAAATTAAGTATTTCGATCTGAACATGGGAAGATAGGAATTAGTTGGTATTTCTGTAAAAGCCCGTAAACCGGTGATCTCGTGGTGAAACGCGATCTCGATACGTCTAGTAAAGTCTAGGTGCTAAATTATTTACTTGATTTTATTATTACTAATTACGACTTGATCGAATTATAGTTAATATTATTTTCATTTGCTTTCATTTTTTATATAATTGATTATTATGATTTAGATCCAGAAGGACTAGGCTAATAAATTATAATAATCATATTAGAGGACAGCCTGCATAAACAAAAGTTGATCTAGATCTAGTTGACACAGTACTTGGACTTGCGCACACGCTCGCGTGACGAAAGAACGCAAGCGGGCTCGTGACGAATTTGCATAATTTTTCACTCACAAGTGATCAACGTTAATGTGATAGGCGTAGCCTAACAATCTTTAAATAGATCTAGACACCAGCTCTAGATACAAATTTAAGTATTAAAACTCCGCCTGGATATGTCTAGCTTCGGACGGGCGATGTTTCTCTCGTTGACAAAACAACGCGAGCGAGCCGTCACTACGCACAGCCTATGAGTGGCGATGTTTGGAATGCATTTCTCGCTCACATGTGATGAAATTTAATGCAACGACAGTTTTAAAAATAAAAACAGATATTTTATTATGTCTATATAGATCTACTTTTTTTTAATATTTAAAACTCAGCCTAGACAAAGCTTCCATGCTGGATAAGGGAGGAGGGTTAGATTCCGCCGTTAACTCAATCTATTATTATTAGGCCTAATTGTCCTAATTAAACATTCCTATTTACACTGATTAATCAAGACTGAATAAAAGTGAAAATGAATACCTTTAAAAAGTTTAGATCTATATATTTTTAAACATTTATACGTGATTTTTTTGGTTCATTCCTTTGGCGTTTACTAGAAATACAGTAAAAGATTACATAACCAAGTTACGAGTATCCTTTCGATTTCGTTTTATTGCAGCATACCTCCACTTCCCCCTCCCCACACATGATCCTTACGAACCTCCTTGGTCGTTTTCAGGTCAACTTTAGGAACCAGATCTTTGAATGGTTGTCATGGAAAAATCTTTCCCAGCTAAGCTGTATGGCACCAATAATTAAAATCATGTATTTTAGTTCAAAATGAGCTAAAATCATCAAATGTAGTGCCTGGTTAGTTAGAGAAATATCTCTAGCTTTTATTGGTATTGGTTAAAAAAATAAATAATTAAAATTAAGATTTAGTGAGCCTCGCTAGTATATATCTGCCATTACCATGCATTTTTCTTATGTTTTCCTTTTCTTTTTCTCTTCCCCCCCCCCTTCCAGTGAGGTTGCTTGGGCAACTTGGCTGGGTGTTTTGTTATATATGAATTGTTTTGTTTGGTGTAAAAAGTTTGTTGTGTACGTATTGTGTTCTACGTAATGTATTGTACGTAGTGGTTTTACGTAGTGTTTTGTTTGGTGTGGACTTTTGGATGTCGAGAATGGATGAAGGGAGGTTTCTGTGTGTCAGGGCCTGGACCATCCTAGACATCATAAGTCGGCGCAACACCAGCAAATGGTCAAACGTAATGTTTTGTTTGATGTAAAAAGTTTGTTTCGTTTGGTTCTGTTTTGTGTCAGTTTTATCTATTCTTTTTTTATAACTTTTGGTTCCATGCAATAAATTTTATTAACTGTAAAAGTTTTTGTTTTATTTTAGTAGCTTATTATTTAGACTAAGGTTAGGGTTTAACCAGCCTGGGTTTAGCCGGGCTTGCACTGACCGGACAGTAGTAATAGATAAGCCTAGAGAAGGGTAGATAGATTTTAAGGTATCCCCCCCTAGCAGGGCTTACAATTATTAAAATTTAAGGAGTCACCTATTTTTCACATTACAAGTCGCGGGCAATTTTACATACCTAAAACGATAGATTACTTAAATACTACACCCTATACTACTATTACAACTAAATAAAATCTAAAATTTCATGAGTCAACTGTATTTCACATTACTAGTCTCAGCCAATTTATGTACCTAAAACGATAGATTACTTCAGATCTAGATTTATAATTTATGATCTAGGCCTATGGGCTAATCTAATAGTATTAATGATCATGGACCCGATCGAGTAAAGTGACGTCTCAATCAAACTAGGCACAAGGTATTCGAGAGGCCCATTAAAAATTTTAGAAAATTTAAATTTTTATTAAAATCTAAAATTAAATATTTTGAAAATCTAAAAATCATGCAAGGTGTAAGATCTAGATCTTGTTTAAAATTAGGCCGATTCTAGCCGAAAAGATATGCATTGGCAATTGAGAGAAACTAACGCCTTCATTCGCTGCAAGGTTTTCTATGGTACATACGTGTGTTTTCAAACCAAAAGCAGAACTCGTGTCCTAACCCTAGCGCAGATAATAAGTTTACTGTACATGCCCATAACTATTGAGTTTTGTATTTTCTGCCGAAAAATCTTTTTCTGAGTAGTCATTTCGTTAAAATTAGTATGGTTAAAAAATCCTGTCTGTTTGTTTTTTTGCTCTGACTTTGCTAAAGAATAAAAGTTGTGGGCTAGTTTTATGGTTTTAATTTAATATTTTCAGTAGGCCTAACTAAATTAGAAATTTAAGAAAAAAATCAATGTGGTTTTCACATGTAATGGTGACATAAACAATGGCATCCTTCTATTTAGTAGGCTAGCATAGATTTTATTGTACAAATTGTAAATAAAAAAAGGCAGATTTAGGTCATGCTGTTTAAATTTACATCAACATCGTTATTTAAAATTTTTATTTGCAAAGTTTTGTAATAAAAAATATACTATGATGTGGGCTGTCAGAAATCTATCACAGTTCCAGTACAACCAAACAATATTTGTCTTACATTACTTACAAAAGTGAAACATCAGGTTATTACTTACGCTTGATGAAAATAAATGGAAATGTAGCCTTAAACTCAAAAAATTATTTTCAAGTTATAACATTGATTCTAAAAATAGGGCTATTAAATTTCTGAATTATATTAAGGCCTAAGTTTTTATTATTTTTATGATCGCTTTGATTGCAAAATATTAAAAGCATGCTTTTAATCCATGTCAACAATAAAGTCAATATAATATGATGGAAGTATTTTTGTCAACTCGGTTGCCTCCATTAGGTCTAATCATTGTTATTCATCAATTCTTTAATATATTTTCATTTAATATTTATTCATGAATATTAATCAAATTTAATGTTTTTATAGTTTATAGGCCTAGATCTAGTAGGCCTTAATTTAAATTTAATTAAAGAATTTAGACTAGTATTTAGTTCTAGAATAATAACAGATGCTATATTACCCTAGGCCAGGGGTTGGCAACCTTTTGAGACGGAAGAGCCAAAAGTTACTATTTACAAACTTTCCCAGTTTTTAAAGAGCCACCAATATTTTTATTTTAATATTATGATCTTTGATTAGGATTTGGGGAATATATATATATATATATATATATATATATATATATATATATATATATATATATATATATATATATATATATATATAAACGGTGTCAAACTGCAATTTTATTTTATTATATATTTTAAAAAAAATGTTCTTGATCTAGCTTAGATTTCTTTTAAATATTAAAGGTCATAGCCTTGACAATAGCAGTATGACAAACCATGCTTTGGATCACTATGAGTTCATATAATCTTGTCAGCCACATTGTTTGTGTAAGGCCAATACCTTTCAATCTTTAACAATTTGTATTAAGCGTGGAAGTATAAATAAACAATTTAAAATGTTTATTTTATTTTTTATTAAGTAATTTAGATAATAAAAGTAAACAAAAAATCAACGATAAAAAATAAATATTAGGCGGCAGTAATATTACAAAATTTCTTTGCAACAGTTCAACTTATGTTTGCGGTGGCTTTGAGCATGGTGATGTTCGAATGCGATATATCTGGCAGTTTCAGTCTTCAACATAAAAGAAAGAAGATGTTAAATCATCAGCACATCTAGCGATGGAAAAATCAAACAAAAAGTCTTTAAAGTCTGTATCAGAGTTCATTTTAAGTTGGTTGCAGAATAATTTGTCCAGACATCTTTGCAGTTTACCCCCACCCAGCATAAGTATTGTATGGGGTTATACTGTTTATACATTTTTTAGAACCCTATAAGCAATGACATGCAGGGATTTTCAGTAGTTAACTTGTAGCAAAAAAATGTTTATTTAAAAAAACACACTATATGTTTTATAAAAGTGGCTTCTTTGGAATCATAAATTTTTTATTTTTTTTTAGTAACCAATCAAGAATGGAAGGGGAAACACATGTAATTCTAAATACACCAGTAGTTAAAGTGGAACCATATGAGGTAATTACAACAGATGTTTCAACTGATAGTGCAACTTTTGAAGACATAAAACCAGACGTATCCATTAGCACTTTTAACGAGAGAAACCCAAATGTATCAGATTCAACACTTGAAGACATAAATCCAGAAGAATCAATTTCCACTTATGAAGGCAATGATCCAGATAGATCCATTTCATATCACGAAGACATAAATCAAGATGAAGTGGATACTCAGCAAAACATATCCATTGATTACTCTTCTTTAAGATATCCATTAATTCACAGTGAAGTGATTTCATACGTGTGTGATTTATGTAATCGAAAATTCATGAGGAATAGCAACATAAGACAACATTTAAGAAAACATATTATAGGAGAAAAATTACATAAGTCTGGCTATAATCTGCATAACTTGATGTATTCAAAAAAAAGGCCATATGAATGTGATGTATGTCATAAAAGGTTTTTACGGAAGTCTTATTTAGATGTGCATAAAAATATTCATACTGGTGCAAACCAATTTGAGTGTGATGTTTGTCATAAAAAGTATTCTCAGAAATCTTACTTAACTGCACATAAAAACATTCATTCTCAAGAAAAGCTATATGAGTGTAACATTTGTCATAAAAAGTTTACCTTTAAGTGTTATTTAGCAACACATGAAAAACTTCACTTTGAAGAGAAGCAATATGAATGTAATTTTTGTTTTAAAAGGTTTTTTCTGAAGACAAATTTAACTCAACATGAAAAGATTCATCTTGGAGATAGGCAGTTTGGATGTGAAATTTGCCATAGAAAGTTTACTCAGAACTCTCATTTAACTAAGCATAAAATGCTTCATACTGGAGAAAAACCATACGAATGTGACATTTGTCATAAAAAGTTTGCTCTGAGCGATTACTTAGCAACACATGTAAAAATTCATGATAAAGTAGACAACTATGAATGTGAAGTTTGCCATAAGGTTATTTTCAAGAAATATCAAATAGAGCAACATAAAAAAATGAACTGTGGCAGTAAAACTTATGAGTGTGATGTTTGTCATAAAACATATTCCACTAACTCTTCTTTTAATACGCATAAAAGGCTTCATACTGGAGAAGAGAAATTTGAATGTAAAATTTGTCATCAAAAGTTTAATATGATGATGTATTTAACAAAACATAAGAAAGTTCATGATAAATGTGGACCTCTTGAATGTGAGGTTTGTCACAAAATGTTTAAAAGGGAATTTCATTTTCAACGACATAAAAAGATACATTTAGAAGAAAATTAATATATACTCAGAATTCGCCATCATATTTAATTAAGTCTTATTTGAATATCAAGTGTATATTTGGTTTAATAAAAGATAATTATAATAAATATGATTTAGACAGAATGTTTGTTCTGAACATTTTTATCAAAGCCTATGAAATTGTTTTTTGTAAAGTTAACATAAATATATTTGTATTGTAGAGGAAGTTGTATTGGCTGTTTTATATATTTGAAAAACATAAGGAAATATAATTTAAATCGTTATGCTTTTAAGTACGTTACGTCTTTTTTTCAAACAAAATCAAAGGGTGGCTAATTTTTACTGGCCCCATCTGTTGTGTGTTGGTATTGTAAAAAGTTTTCAGTTTACGTATGTTTAATTAATCCTTTATTTTAACAAAAATTACAAGTTGTTATTATATTTTTCTTTTTGTATCATACTTTACTTTAAACATTTTCCAGCTCACTTAAAAAAGGCTCAATACAAATAACATAAAAATTCAAACATTACATAATCTGTCATTTTTTTAAAAAATTTTTGTTGAAGAAATCTGTATGTCATGTGAGGGCCAGGATGGCTGAGTGGTATAACCCTCAACTGCTTTGAGGTCAAAGGTCAGATCTCAGACTTGAATCTTAGGAACATATTTTGGTTCACCCAGCTCACAGATGAATGTGAGGAAAGAAAAGGCAGCCTAGTACTGACAACACTTTCCTGATATGTCATCATCATCTTTTCCCTGTGTGTGCCTAGACACATGGGGCAGATAAAGTAGAGTTCATCTCTTTCAATGACTTGGGCATAGATTAATGTGAGGAAAGAAAAGGCAGCCTAATACTGACAACACTTTCCTGATATGTCATCATCATCTTTTCCCTGTGTGTGCCTAAGACACATGGGGCAGATAAAGTAGAGTTCATCTCTTTCAATGACTTCTGCATAAAGGGGATTAATTAACATATGCCCAGCCGTCTTTGTTTCCCTAATGTACATTAGGTGCCCATCAAAGCTGGGTGGAATCAGGGATGTTCTACTAATTTGAACTCAAGCCTTTCGAGTTAGTAGTCTAACACTCTTCCACTAGCCCACGCTGTCCCCTTATATGTCACATGAAATTCATCTGCCATACTGACCATCAGGTCAGAATGAATAACTTTTTGTGTAATGTATATGATTACTACAATTTTTATAATTATAATGTTTATCATCCTACTCATATCAATCAATTTACATTGTGAAAACAAAACTCATTTCTGTTCATGACTTGTTGAATTGTTTTATTATAAAAAAATCAAAATAACTACACTTTTGGCTTAAATGTGTATGACATAGTGTAGTGTATAGTTTTACATCATGTTATTAAAAAGAGGAACTAAGCACATCATTGCTTATGATCACAAAGAGAAAATTTGTTAAGATTAGAATTATTACCATAGAGACTAGACTTATTACTGAGGGTATAATTCCACTTTCTGGCAGTGAATGGCGGAAATCAACTCTGCTACCATCAACTCTCTGCATTCCTACCAATTTAAGTGCCTGAATGGGATAAAAGGCATTCACTGACCCAACATAAAAGTTACTAAAAGAAATGGAAGCCATATCAGAAGTAATTGAAAAGATATGCCACTGGATGAAATCTGATTAAATTACGACAATGGAGCTGGGATATTGCAAGGAAAAAGGAAAATAGTGAAGGCCATGGGAAAACAGGGAGAAGCTTTGGAGAAAAAGGACTGACGATAGCTGAAATATTCTTGAATATTCTGGAAAACTGCAATAAAAGTTGCCAGAAAAAGTCAGAAGTGGAAAGATTTTTTTGTGTGATATCCCTATGTTCTGGACACATGGGAAAAAAAATTATTCCAATAAAATATTTCTTTGGCTTCATTTCATGTTTCTCTTAGTTCTAGCTAATTACAAATTAAGTAAAACCTATCAGTCTTTGAACATTTGGCATAATATTTTTTTTTTTATATTTCAATTGTAAATAATGTTAAGTGCTTGTTTTTAATTTTAAGTACTATAAAAATGTATTAGTGTTGTAAATCTGACTGTTAAATATTTTTATTAAGATGGTTGAAAGCCATAATAGGCCACCTACACCTGCACTTAAATTCACTACCATTCATACACATTTCACAGAAATTTTCTGTTGTCTCAAGTTCTAGAATCCTAGACTATCTCTTTTCTATCAGACTTAAATCTTATAATTTTAGTTTTTATTTTCATATTATAACGCAAGACAATGTTGATATACTCTTTGTTTATAGGAATATAATTTTATTAATAATAATGAACTGCCATCACCGAGTAAATCAAAATTAAATGTTGAATTATCTACACGTTAAAATTAATTCTGTAAAATTTTGTTTAAAAAATTACCTGGTTGTGTTTTACTTTTAAGTAAATCAATAAAATAAAATAAAATTTAAATGCACAATTGTTTTTGTTTAGTGTTATTTTATTATCACCCTATCATACAAATACATAATGATAATGTAAGAATATAGGGCCTACTGTAGTTATGGAAATAATTTCATTGATAACCTTAGTTACACACAAATGTGTTTTTAATTCTTAAACAATCTAAAACACTGCTATACATCTTGCCTCTACATACTTAACATAATCGATATTTATTTAGTGAACAGTAAAATTTACAGTTATGAAATTTTTAAAAATTGTAATATTCAAAATAAATGAAAACTATGTTATGTTACACATATTCATAAATCCACTAATTAATATAAGTGTTACATTTAAACCAGATAACAAGGCAGCCATATTTTTAAATATGTTTATGTGTGTAGGTATGAATCTAAACAAGTACACACTTAAATGTCTATACATTTTTAGGTGTATTTAGTAAGTCCTGTTTAACACTCCCCCCCCCCCCCCCCAATCATTATGAAGCAGACTACACCATTGAACTTAAAACACTCATCTCTAAAGCCAAACAACTTATCAAACAAGCCTTTTGCAACCATGCAAAAAACACGGCCATCAAAGAAAATTCCAAGACCAAATGCAGACTTTTCAAATGTAATGTCCTGAATGTCCTATCTAAAGTAAAGTTCACTTTCAAACCTGACGGTCTACAGTGCAAGTGGAGTTCAGTTGTTTCTGTGACCTCGGCATATGAAGGGAAAGTGTGGTCTGCACTATGCCCAGCCGCCTTTACTTAACCTAACGTGAGTTAGGTACCCATCATAGCTGGTTGGACTCGGACGGTCTGCTGAATTGAACCCGGATTTGAACTCGAGACTTATGGATTAGGCCACTCCGTCCCATAAGTGGCAGCAAATGTCATGAACAACCACCACCAGCAGATCACTGGGCTCTTTCCAAACAAAGTGCTTGTGAAGGATAAAAGGCATACACTGTCGTAGCGTCATCTCGAATGATAGACTACTAGAGAGTTAAAAATGGAAGCAGTTTCCAAAATATTCGGGGGGAAAATAACAAGTATTAAAAAAAAACCTTTATGGCAACAAGTTTTTGAATGCACTGAAAATAAGAAAATAAAACTAGTTTACTTTCTTTCATAAAAGCTTTCGTTGTTAAAATGTGTAAGGGGTCATCCATTTATGACATCCACACACGGGGAGGGGGGGGGGGGGGGGGGGGGGGGTCCGAAAAAAATTATCTTTTGCGGACGCGCATGGACTTATATAAGGTAAAAAGTGGATTTTTGTGGACGGGGGGGGGGGGGGGGGGGGGTGTCCAAAATCCAAAAAAATTGTGGACGTCATAAATGGATGACCCCTAAAAGATCTCATGAGCTACCGAAGCTTTTATGAAACAAAAAAGAAACTTAGTTTTATTTTCTTACTCTCAGTGCATTTAAAATCTTGTTTTTATAAAAGTTGTTTTTCTTTTTTACTTTCTCGTATATACGAAGTATAGAGAAAGTCTTGTAATCGTGCAAAAAAAAAAAATCGAGATTTTTACAAATCTCGACGTTTCACACCTCACTGATACGGAAAAACATAATTTTGCAATCTTGTCCGTATGTCTGTGTGTCTGTCTGTCTGTCTGTCTGTCCGTGTGTAAACACGATAACTTGAGTACCGTTACAGCTAGGTTGATGAAATTTCATACAAAGTATTTTATCAAAATCGTAGATCCGTATCAACTTTTGAGCGATTTCCGATAACCGGAAGTGGTACTTTTCCTACTTTGAATTTTTCAAAAGCCTATAACTTGAGTACTATTTCAGATAGATAAATGAAATTTCACATGTAAGTAAAAGATCTAATTCTCTACCTTCTGTTAAATTTTGAGTAATTTTCGTTGACTGGAAGTAGTACTTTACGCTACTTCCGATTTCTCAAAAAACTAATGTAAATTTTAAAAGTACTAATAATATTGCGCACTATTATGCGCTTTTTTTTATTTGCGTTCACTTGGTGTGCAATTAATTTGTCTACGAGATTTTATTCTATTTTTAAAACTTTAAGTATTTAAAATGGATTAAAAATCATGTCTATAGCCCGAGCTCCCATCCCCTGTTATTTTATATAAGAATATCCGAGAAAGTTTAGGGGAGATCACTCCCGGTTTATTTTTTTTTACAATTGTTTATTTTATACTTTCAGTGATTCCTTGTTTATAAAGTCGAAACAACTAAAAGTATTTTATTTATAACGATATCTGAAGGACGATTATCTGCAGAGTTTCCTATAGACATCTCTTCGGGGGGTAGGGGGTAATCCCACCCCACCCGAAGAAAGTCTACCGCCCCCCCCCCCCCCCAAAAAAAAAAATTCAAGTGCCCCCCCCCCCCCGGAGAAAAAAGCAGCTGTCCGTGACCATATTTTACAGACGACAGCTAGTTCTTGTTACCTCCCCTTCGTTTAAAAAATCTTTATTATCTGCCCCTAATAAAGTTCACTACATCGACCGGCTCTACTATTCTAAACATTATCGTGAACCACAACTCGCCTGTCAAGGTGATCTCGTCTGGCTATTTATCTCCCCTTCTATTATCTATAATATAAGCGGCTAGGTAGTGTGTCAGTCCTTCCGTCATCGCTATAGATTTTGGGACTATAAAAGTAAACTACGCACCATGCTGTGCTTTTCAGTGCACCGCAGTGTCTTATTATAAGTATCTATAATATAAGCGGGCTGTGTCTGTCCTTCCTTCCTTCCTTCCGTCCGTCATCGCTATAGATTTTGGGACTATAAAAGTAAACTACGCACCATGCTGTGCTTTTCAGTGCACCGCAGTGTCTTATTATAGGTAATAGAGAAGGGTTTGTTTATATAGAGGCATAGAGCTATTTTATAAATGCCACTGTGTTTACTCTTTTGCATAACTTAAATAAAATATTAAATACACGCACATGGCTAAAACATATTTAAAAAATCAATGTTAAATATCATTTTCGTTTATATTCCTAGAAAAAATGGATATATTTTTATGAAAGTAGGTCAAAGAAACTAATTAATTCAACTTTTTTTTTTGGTAATTTTTTGCAAGGGAGGTAATTTGAAAATATATTTAACTCATCAATATCATTCTAAGTTAATTTTTTGTTTATTACTACCGCATTGATTATTATATGTTAAGGTTCATAATTAAACGAGAAAAATGTTAAGATTATTAATATTATTTATTATTATTTTCTAATTAGTCTATGATTTCTCAAAAAATCACTATCTTTTTGCTTTTGTTTTTCGGTGTTATGAAAACAGATGGTGAAATTAGACTTTTTGAGAAGAATGGAAAGGCTCTCTCTGAGCGCGGACGTATGGGAAAATGTGTTTTATTTTTTAATAATGTTTTAATGTTTTTCGGTGGTGATTCTAATTACATTACCAATGTGTTTTCTTAGAACCATAAAAGTAAACGCCACTTGCCGTACATTTATTTGCATCGCATTGTTTTATTGTAAGTTATGGAGTAGGATCTATTTATGTGACTTAAATTAAGGCTCTCTTTGGGCGCGGACGCCTAAAAAAGCGTGTTGTTTTGTGGTAATTCTAATGTTGTGGCTGTGGTTGTGTTGTGGTTGTGTTGTAGTTGTGTTGTGGTTGTATTGTGGTTGTGTTGTGGTTGTGTTGTGGTTGTGTTGTGGTTGCGTTGTTGTTGTGTTGTGTTGTGGTTGTGTTGTGTTGTGGTTGTGTTGTGTTGTGGTTGTGTTTTGTTTGTGTTGTGGTTGTGTTGTGGTTGTGTTTTGTTTGCGTTGTGGTTGTGTTGTTGTGTTGTGGTTGTGTTGTGTTTTGTTTGTATTGTGGTTGTGTTGTGGTTGCGTTGTGGTTGTGTTGTTGTGTTGTGGTTGTGTTGTGGTTGTGTTGTGGTTGTGTTGTGGTTGTGTTTTGTTTGTGTTTATGTTTATGTTTGTGTTGTGTTTTTGTTCGTTTTGTTCTGTTCCAAAAATGTACATTTAAAAAGATTTACCGTGGCGGAGCACGGGATGCAGCTAGTCTATAATATAATCGGGCTGAGCGTGTCCTTCCGTCCGTCATCGCTATAGATTTTGGGACTATAAAAGTAAACTACGCACCATGCTGTGCTTTTCAGTGCACCGCAGTGTCTTATTATAGGTAATAGAGTAGGGTTTGTTTATATAGAGGCATAGAGCTATTTTATAAATGCCACTGTGTTTACTCTTTTGCATAACTTAAATAAAATATTAAATACACGCACATGGCTAAAACATATTTAAAAAATCAATGTTAAATATCATTTTCGTTTATATTCCTAGAAAAAATGGATATATTTGTATGAAAGTAGGTCAAAGAAACTAATTAATTCAACTTTTTTTTTGGTAATTTTTTGCAAGGGAGGTAATTTGAAAATATATTTAACTCATCAATATCATTATAAGTTAATTTTTTGTTTATTACTACCGCATTGATTATTATATGTTAAGGTTCATAATTAAAAGAGAAAAATGTTAAGATTATTAATATTATTTATTATTATTTTCTAATTAGTCTATGATTTCTCAAAAATCACTATCTTTTTGCTTTTGTTTTTCGGTGTTATGAAAACAGATGGTGAAATTAGACTTTTTGAGAAGAATGGAAAGGCTCTCTCTGAGCGCGGACGTATGGGAAAATGTGTTTTATTTTTTAATATTCAACTCACTCTCAATAATTTAAGTTAATTTTTGTTATTACTTCCACATTGATTATTATATGTTAAGGTTCATAAGTAAAATAGAAAAATGTTATGGTTATTTATATTATTTTCTAATTAGTCTATGATCTCTCAAAATCACTATTTTTTGTTTTTGTTTTTCGGTGTTAACAGATGGTGAAATTTTAGGATTATAGTATAGAGAATGCTGAACAGGCTCTTTCTGGGCGTGGACGCCTGGAAAAAGCATGTTTTTCGGTGGTGATTGTAATTACATTACCAATGTGTTTTCTTAGAACCATAAAAGTAAACGCCACTTGCCGTACATTTATTTGCATCG